GCAAGATGATCTCAGAATCTTGACAGATATCGATAAATCTGCATAAGATCTTGAAAGAACTGAACAGAAACTTCCGAAATCTTTCAGGTTTTTATCAAGATCTGTAGTCAAGATTTTTTACTTGGGGTAATTGTTTTCTGTTCTGTTCTACACACTGTTGTTATTGCACCACATCAATTCATTTTCAAGATAACTAAGTCCTCTACTTTCTACTTCCTCTGTGAGACTAGCACTGTGACACAGTTACTTCTAAACTTTTCTACGGAAAGAAATTTTCAAAACTTTTACCACAGAAACAAAATACTTCGTAATTTTCTCGTCTTTTCTACAGATGAGAGAAACCTAACTTTAACATCTTTACGTCTACTGGTCACGCAATCTAATCTCTTTTTTGTCTTTAGTTTATCTTTTCAAATTTTACAGTACTCTTGGAATTTATGACGCAAAATCAACATAAAGGTAAGCACATAATAATACCAACTCTTTCTTTTTCATATTTATAAAAGTTTTCTTTGAGTAGAGTTTCAAAGAAAAATCTACAAATATTTTTGTTGAAACTGTCTGCTGTTACTATAAAATAAGACGTGAAAATGTACAATAGGTAATAAATTACTTCCAAAGTTATAAATAATTTCTTTCAATGCGTTATTAAATTATTAAATATTAATATTAAAATGCGTTATTACCAGATTTTTTAAAATAATTTCTATCATCATCTGTAATATAATTTAAACAGAAATGTATCTTTAAATAACTTAAAGAATTATTTTCTTTTTTTCTTAATAATTGTCAGAAGATAACATGGATGATTGATGATAATAAGGGTTGTGTCATTTTAGTTTTAAATAAAACTGACAAAATTTTTATTTTATGAAAATAATTAAATAATAAATCAATATCACTTAAAACAGAAAATTTTTCTATTAAAATAAGTATTTAATTCAATAATATGATTTCCAGAAAAATGACTATTAATTGTGTTCTAAGTGGAAAGAAAACACGTTATATAAGACGCTTAAAATTCGAAAAATGATCACTATTTTAGTTTTGGCTTATGTATTTCAGTTTGATCATGTCAGCTTCTTGTTTGTACTTTTTGCACACCCGATCACCTTCAGAAAAAGGTTTTATCATATCATTCATATAGTTATATTATTATGTACGACAAACATTCAACATTGACAATCATGCTCTGCGTTTAAACTTTATTTGTTGAAAGAACAATTTCTTCACTATCTTTATATCCCTAGGCAAAAATTTTTCTACAATTCTGATAAGAATCTTAGCTGATTGTTATCAAATTCTTATATAAGATTACGCAGGAAAGTGAATGAAGTTTGAGAAGAGTCTTATAAGAATCTGATAAAAAAGTCATAAGAATTTCATAAGAAAGTGATGAAAAGTTCGTATCTGTTTGTGATAGACGTGTTACAAAATGCTTAATCTTATCGAATTTTGATAAGAAGTTTCTGACATACTTTGTCCTTGCAAGACTTAATTTTAAATTAGTCTGGACAAGGAGTAATTTAACAATTCTGTTTTACTCAGCGAAACAGTAAGAAACTCAATGTTTGACTATAAGACATTTATGTTTCATAGTGACTTTGAAGTTGTTCTGCTCTTGAGAGTGCTCTGTCGTTAGTTGTCGATATACTCAGAAAAGGAATTCAAAAATCTGAAACTGGAATCAGAATGTAATAGTCAGATGATCTTTATTATCACAGTCCGTAATTGCTCAGTGGATAAGGGCACGGCATAAGAGCACGGCATGGTATGTCGTAGACCCTAGGTTCGAATCCTAGACGGTTCGCATGATTTTTTTCAAATTTTTTTTGCACAAGTCAGACTAACGCAGTTTAACTTCTTGAGCATTTTTCAGATCGTTTTACAAAACAAGAATTTTCATAAGACCTCTTATCACTTTCTTCTGAAATTCTTATGACTTTCTTATCAGATTCTTATAAGACTTTTATCAAACTTCATTCACTTTCCTGCGTAATCTTAAATAAGAATTTGATGAGAATCAGATAAGATTCTTACGTGAATCTGATTGGGTACTTATAAGTTCCTTATAAAATTTTAACTGATGCTTATATAAGAATCGACGTCTAGGGGTAATGCTAGAGAAATATCGAAACATGTTGTTGGATCATCATTTCGAACATTATGATCCACAATAATATAATTTTGTTGTTCTATGCGGCGAGCTGGTTCATCATCTATTGTTTCATTATCATCTATCGAATCGTTATCTTCATCATCATCAACATTCGTGGTATTGTCACCTTCGTCGTTGCTGTTTATAAATAATTCTTCCAAAAACTAGCTTCTTTGGTAATGGCGCTGAATGACCACCTTTCTACTATAGGTATTTTCACACATATCTAAAATGAAACTTCATGTTAAAAAATACCACACAGGAAAATATACAACATTTACTTTTGTATTTTTTTAGCGTTATTACTTACTTAATATAGCCGTATCAAATAAGGGATACCTATATCTTTTTACTTCTCGGCAAATGTGAGCAAATGTCTATAGAGAGTGTTCTAATACATCGTGTTCCTTTTTCTAAACAGAAAAATATGCCGCGGCACATTATATACCATTCATCTCGCTTAAAATTCCCTATGATGCGAGCAATACAAATATCAAGTAGGATTTGTTGAATATATTCGAAAAACACAGTTGGTTTTGAGTTGTTGTTAGATATTAAAATGCACTTTTCAACAACTCAAAACCCACTGTGTTTTTTTGTTCCGGTGACATGCAATTGGTATTTACTAAATGTAAATAGTGGTAAGCTTGTTGAAAACCTTAAGCTTCACAATTAAAGTCGCCGTTTCTTTCGCCGTATTTTCGCCTAGTGAATTTCTATCGAATCTACAATCATCTTTCGATATTAGATCTAGCTGAACCCATTGTTCCTCGAATCACTATATTGTCTACTCGATTTAATCATTCTTGTCCTGTTCTTGATCCTTTTAGTAGTACAAAAACGGTTAGCTCCTCATTTTGCTATACTACTGCTAAAGACTGGAACAAGCTTCCTCAATCGCTCATATCTGTCCCGCTACTATAAAAATGTTTAAGAGCAATTTAAAGTTGCGTCTAAATCTATTTTAAGTCTCCAACAATGTGCTCTCTTTTTGTTTTTTGCTTTTTATATTTGTTTTTTTTCTTCTATTCGTGTGTCCACTGGTAAAAAAACAAAACAACTTCCTCTCTTTTCATCGACTTGCTGGTATATTTGTATGCTAGTTTGTGTGGGAATTGTTCAAGTTTATAAACCCTCAACTTTTGAATATGTACCTCGATAGTACGATCTATCCAAATAAATGAAATGAAATGAATACTCCAGCTTTAGCACTCAAACAAAAAAAATTCACTTACGCTGCATGTTGCAGTTAACTTTGCGCAAACAATAATGACAAAAGTTCTTAAAGTATAGCATGTATCCATCCTATCGATTTCAGATCGACGAAAATATGTTCGGCTCCAACGGTAACTTTGGCTATTCCTGCATGTAACTTTTAAATTTATAGATGCCACACGAAACCAAAATATCGCAAAAATACGATTTAGGTTCAAATAACCGAGAAGAAGATAAATCACAGGCTTGCCTCAGTTATTTTTCAGATATCCACCTTATGTCAATTTACATATAGTTTTATTTTCTGACCGATTTCATCGTAACTTGTCACAGTCATCAGTATGATCCGTCATACAATTATATACCATTCCTGCTTGTTTGTATATATGCAGATATTTTACTTTTTCCTTCGCACTATTTTTCTGACTCGGCTAAATTAGTTCAGCCAAGTCAGTTTATAAAAAGATTAGTATGTATTGTGGTCAAGGGGCATACAGCGTATTCTATCGTTCTTCTTCCCTTTTACAGTCAGTTTTACTAATAAAACTGAAGTTATGAAGGACCGTGACATAGGCTAGAGAAAAGAATTTCTCGAAGAAAAACAAACAGGCATATATAGTCATTCTTTACGTTGCAAGTCTTTTATTGACTCTTCTTGGGATCAATCTTCCTTCTTTCGAACAACTTACTACTTAATATACTGCCGCACATTTACTTTCGAGTGATTTGTATCCCTTAATTATAATATTACTCTTTTTTGGGTGCCCTGATTTCGTTCGTTCGCTTTTTCGGATTTACAAAGATGAAAATGATCAAGAAATTGATTTGCTACAAATCCCCGGAGAAAAGTCAAAAATGAACTTATACTTAACAGCTGTCGTTGATCAACTGTTCAAACCCGACGAATTGCCAAATATCAATGTTTATGATTTACAGAAAGATGATCGTTTTAATTTAGCTAAAGGTTTGTTAGCCGCAGAAGCCTCTTGCTTTTCAAATTGATTTTTATATGTCTTTTCTGTAGAAGCCGTTCGATCGAAGTATGAATTAGACGATCATAACATGAACTTCGAATGGCCCTCTCTCCGCGAAACATTTCTACAGAAACGTAGAAATTTAAAAACAAAATTTAGAAAAACAACATAAACCAGTCCATCAACACCGGTACAACAACAACAACATACACCACGTACCTCAACACCACCAAGCACCTCAACACCACTACAGTAACGCAATACAACCTCAAAACTCAGAAAAAATAGATAGTTGTTTTTTAATGTTTTTGTTTCAAGAAGCCAAAATTCTTTCAACTTACTTGTTTGCATTATAGGCTTTTTTGGCGTTTCATTTTATGTATAGTACAGCTAAATAATTTTTGATTTAAAAAAATTAGATGCAGAGTGAAGTATTATTGCGAATCGTTAATACATGACAGAAATATAAATTAAAAATACCGCTCGAACTAAGATTCGAACCGCTGGCGTTAGGATCAGACAACACAATGAAACCAACAATTAACCGGAAAAAACGACCGGTTAAGCGGTTAACCGGACGGTTAATGCCGGTTTATCGGTTAACCTCACAATTAATTGGATGGTTAATTGCGGTTAATTGGCGGTTTCTTACCGGTTTGATCAACATGGGTATAGTTATGAAGAAGAATAGTTGATATGTGTTCTAATATAAGATACATTCAGCGGACATTGAAACGATATTTTTTCTCATACAGCAGTACCTTTTTAGCTATGACCAATTAATAGTCGTCCTTTAATTGATTATACTGTTTGTACACTTATTCGATTTGAAAAGCAAGAAAGTATCTTAGTCATTACGAATTATAAGTACCATATTGATGATTAATCAAAAGCATGTCATCCGTGGAATAATCAATTAAAATAATCCGAACAAGCACAATTTTGTGTGATTTTATAATTATTATTCTATAAAAGTGAGTGCAACGAGATAAATATGGACATAGGGTGATCTCAGGGTTTTACCTTGTGTGCGGTTGGTTAACGGTATAAACACAGAAATCCCTAGGACTCCTTTCTCAATCGGGATACTCGTGGAAGAGGATTCAATATCGTCCGACGGAAGACAAACCTTCCTCATACCCAGTCTTTTGTTTTTGATCTCCTTATTTGTTGGCTCAATTTCATTGATAAATTTCTAGCTACTGTAAAGCATTTCATAAAAAACAAGTATTTGTTCTTGACAAAGAAATTCTAATGAACGTGACGCGACTGTTCCGCAAACTGGAATCATATTTTAAACACATCTGTTTATGTACGGGTGGCCCAGAATGAATGACCCTCCTCATATTTTGCTCATAAGTTCTTTTCTTTTCAATCCTTAGACTTGATTATTTTTCCAAAAGATGCGCCGTCAAATTCTCTACAACACTTGATCAAACTTGTCTCTATAAAACGTTACAGAGAAAAATGACACGAAGAATACGCAACAGGATGAAAAGTACCAACTTTCTAAGCCGAAAGAACATTTTGTTTCACCACCATTGAGTTGGATGATAAAAAGAAGAGAATATACGCATTTTATAACCCTTCAAAAGCTACAAGTGAACGATGTAATATCAGTCTTTAAGGCTTACAACGGCTTTTTCCTCTTTGATGCTTTGCGAAATCTAGCTATGTTAATGTGCAGATTCGGAGCTCCTGGAAAATGCTGCATAACGAGGCCAAAATAGCACCCTATAGCTTGATCTTTTTTTATTTTGATGAGAAATGACACCTGTACCAGATTCAGCTGGGAAAGTTACATGAAACTTTCTTCAAAATTCTCCTGCCGAACAATAGCAGATTTTGGCCACTTTGAGGTGAATTTTGAAATGTTAGATTTTCAGTGCTCACTTAGATTTGAACGAACTGTGAACTACATTAAGGGAAAGAGCACACTTCAAAGTACTCAACAATATCTTCACTTTTGTTTTATTATCTTTAGAGCTCCTTAAAATATTCCAAAATTTGTAAAACAAAATAGCTTAGACAGTTGGTCCTTTTCATCATATGACCTATTCTTCGTTTCATTTTTCTCCTTAACGTTTTATAGAGACAAGTTTGATCAAGTGTTGTTGAAAATTTGACGGCGCATCTTTTGGAAAAACAATCAAGTCTAAGGATTGAGAAGAAAAGAAATTATCAGCAAAATACGAGGAGAGCTATATATTCTGGGCTAACCGATGAAGCAGAAAAACTTCCATAACATTTGCAAAAGAGATACAGCAATGTTCTGGATCAATCCTTTTTGTGGTTGGATGGCAACGTCAAGATGTCAATACAATTTTGAAGTCGAAATAGTCACACCATTAGTTCAATGTTCGACTATTCAATCAGTCGACGTATAAATAATCAATAAAAATAGCAGAAATACTTTAGAAGATAAAAGATCTTTATGAAATATAAATATAGTGTTTGTTTTCCTGAACGTCATACATATCGAATGCCAAAGAACAGACTGTTATTAACGTTTTCTTCCAACGCAGCAAATAACTTTGCAGATTGATTGATGAGCATCGGATGATAAACATCGAATAAATTCATTTTGAAAAGACATAAATTCATCCTCGGGAAAAAATTGTTTCAGATTTTCCATTCGATTAAATCGATTTTTCCAGGCGATCAAAACGTCACTCGTTGCGGGACCATTAAATGATAGTTCTCTGTCCGCTAAGTCAAACTGATTTACTTCAAATCCGAATTCTTCTAATATTGATTTAGATTTACTTCCCGATCTAAAGTCATATCGTTTGTGTTGAAATGCATCATTATAAAACTGGTCAATTTTTTTTGAATATCGTTCTGGTATAGGTCTGTGGTCTAATAACCGATCAATTTCAATGATGCAAACCCAAGCGTCGGATTTTAAAAATTTTAACCAGTTGGCGAATATGTCTTTGAAATCAGTAAAATAGGCAGCAACAAAACTTGTCCATAAGCCATCGTATCCATGCAATTCAAGTTGTAGATTTCGTAAATCTTGTTCAATAAAATTTGGATAATGATGATCATCACAAATGTTTTTAAATTGTTGCTTTGCCGCAGACAGTAATTCTTCGTTGTTATCTATTCCAGTTACAACACAGCCTCGATTGAACAATTCACGTGAAACATCCCCTGGTCCACAGCCCATATCTAATACGCGGTGACCCGGCTTGATTGGACACTGAGATAGTGCATAATTCCAGTCTCGCCAAGCAAATTGCCTCTTGTATTGAGATAATAACGACTCTGACGTAGTAGATGCCACCTTTGCTACTTCGGTGTACCTCTTAGTTCTGATGGGTGCGGCTGTTAAAGGTTTTAGTAGAATGACGGCCACAAAATGAAATGAGGGTGAAACAGCAGTATTCGAAGGACAGAAAAACAGAATAAAATTTCGAGCCAAGAAATAAAACAAATGATCACCAGATAAAGGCTGAAAACGTTTTACCCGTAGAGTTTACCAAGAGGATTCGGTCTTGTATAATAATTCGAATACTATTTAATCACTAAATGAGTAAGACCAGCAGAGACCCACTACAATGAAAAACTACATAATAAAAATAAAAATCATGAAAAGTTTAGATATCAGCGTCATAAAACAATCATAGAAAAAAGAGACGAAGAAACTTAAGCCTGAAGGTGAAAATAGTAGAGCAGTATGTCCTAGTTGTAGCAAGACAAATTTTAAGTTCAGTAATTTTCGGTTTTAGAAGTCATTTCTTTGAGATTAGACAAAAGCTTTATATAGTGGGGTAGCTGAGCTTCTGCTCTATCGGACTATGTAAAGATACCTATGATTTCTTTCATCGCTCTTAATTAATTAGAGTAAGAATAAACTATACTCTCGATTTCTTTCTTTTCTTATCGTTTCCTAATTCTAGCATATAGTATGTTTTTTATTCTTAATTCTGTCACGTCCATTCAAATACAGGGCATTTTTGGATGAAATCAAAAATAAACATGTGGGCGCTACTGGAAAATCAAAGTCATCATATACTCTTGGAACAAAAAATGTTCCATACACCCAGAGCTACAACTAGTAGAAAACTGAGTTCGAAAGGATGAAGTAATCACGTACTTTTGCCCATAACTTCCACAACTCTAATATCGTTACACCCCCCCAATGTCCGGCACCTACTCAGGTCCCTGCAGAACGAACTATGTTTTTCTGAAAGAAAATACCAAAAAAATTATTTTGGTGTCATTATGAAATTTTAAGGTACTCGGTTTCAAATGACATAATAGAATCAGGCCGTTTGACAATAGATGCAGAAGATACTTTGTCAGTCTTTTGAACGAATGAGAAAACATGCCTTTAACTATATATAATTAAGGCTGCAAACGTTCAGCGCTCCTTTTTAGTGTTTTCTTTTGAACATGAATGCTAGAGCATCTTTGAACGAAAAGCAGTAAACATGACGTTCTTTGAATGTACAAGCCAAGCATGAAAAAACATCATGAAGCGGGCCCTGCATCTAGATTAAAAGGTATATTTATCTAACTTCAGCTAGCTGCACTGAAATACATAAAAATTTCATCTAGCTTTAGCTAGATTGAATCTAGTGCCAGCTGTGTACAACTAATTGCTATCGATTAATCGGGCAATTCATTGATCCATTAACTGGCCAATGCAGCGAGCGCTTCAGCTAGTACACTATTTCAACCAGCCCGGGGCACAGAATCCTGCAATATGATCTTGTAGGATCATACAAGATATCATAAGATTTCACCAGATCTTACAAGATTTCGCAGAAATCTTGGCTCAATATTTTTATAAGATTTTACAAAATTTTTCTTGTTAAGATCTTGAAAGATATCATAAGATCAGATAAGAATTCATCAGATCTTACAAGGTTACAAGGTCTCTGGTTCTGTCCTATAGATCACCTCTAGGCGCTGTTTAAAAAAAATCTTTAATATTTTCGAACATATGAAGGACTCTGACGTTTTAGGAACGTGTCTGACCACGTTTCTTATAGCCGTGCACTTTATTTGGGCTCAACTGATGTGTGAAGTTGAAGGAAGCAAAAAATTCTAAGCTTAGTCATAAGAACTATGTTCTATACACACGTCGTATCCAAGTTAGCATGTTTATCGAAGCTATAACTTCCATAAACATACTTCATGGAAGTTATAACTTCGATGACTTGCTCTATCGAAGTGCTCTATCCTGATTATGATCAACGGTAAAGAATTGATTATTTGAATGATATTATCAAAAGTTATATTTCAGCTAAAAGCAGATATATTTACCCATCAAAAATCAGAAATGTACAAATTATGAAGAAAAAGTGAATAGGTATATTCTTTTCTGTTCTTTTCTTAGTAATGTGTCTAACCTGCGTATCTATCATGTGCAGATCAAGTCTAACAACTAATTATAAAACTGAGACAATTTTCTGAAAGTGAAACTGTCTGATCATGGGTTTATAATAAGCGGATCATTTTCAATAGTAGTATAAATAGAGAAATACATAAAAAGTTTACTCATACTTATTCATAAATCTTAAACATATAAATCTTTCTCAGTCACAATCAACGCTACAGACTTGAACACTATAATGACTTCGCCTATATCATCCTCGTCGATCATGAGAAACCGTAAACTTGTTAAGAAGAAAATCGAAATATCTTCATCAATGACAACTACTACACCGGCTCTGATCACATCTTCTTCAACAGCAACAACAACGGTTATTGATAATGCAAAACGGAAAAATGAATTTAATGATGAAATTTTGAAATCCAAAAATGATTCATCAAATAATCCATTATTCACATCAGAGCGTTATGATGAAACAGTTGAATTAATAAATGGTGCAAAATTAAAACGCTATAGTGATAGAAATGAACAAGAAATAGCACTCTTAAAAACATACGACGTAATTAATGTTGGCGGTCAACAGGAATTAGTAAAAAAGATTAGTTCATCAGAAGCTGGTATAATTTAATATTATGTTTCATTGGACGAACTATTTGATGTGGCACAAACAGCTCATGTTACAATTGGTCATCATGGTATTAATAATACATTAAAAGAAATCAAGAAAAAATATGCAAATGTTACAGAAAGACAGGTGAAATTATTTATCTCTGGTTGTCATGAATGTAAAATAAAACGCTCAAAACCCAAATATTCGTCAAAATTAGTCGTGCAATCAGTTATCTCAAATGATTTTAATGCGCGTGGTAACGCTGATTTAGTCGATATGCATGTCATGTCCAGATGGTCCATTTAAATTTATATTAAATTATCAAGATCATTTTACAAAATTTTGTGTTTTAAGACCAATGAAAACAAAAACAGCAGCAGAAGTAGCCTATCATTTATTAGATATATTTATAATGTTCGGAGCTCCGGCTACTTTACAATCAGATAATGGTCGTGAGTTTGTGGCAAAAGTTATTGAAGAACTAGCTGAAATGTGGAAAGGTCTTAAAATCGTTCATGGAAGAGCGCGTCATCCATAATCACAAGGATCAGTAGAACGTTGCAATCAAGACACAAAACAAGGGGGTACCGTTATTTATAACTTTTTTCTTAAACCTAGAGACGTGGATTCATGAAAATAACTGTAAAAAATGGTCACAGGGTCTACGATTTGTACACTGTCAGAAAACTTCGTGCCAGCATCGTGTGCTAAAACACAGTCCATATCCAGTTTTATTCGGGCATGAACCAAAAATTGGTTTAACATAAACATCCTTACATGCATCAATATTCGATAGTATATCAACAGAAGAGGAACTAGAAAAGGAATTAGGCATACCAGCAGTTACTGATCGAGATACAATTAATGAAGGTGCAAGTGACCAGGAAACAGCAGGGAAAGGCTCAACGAATGACGATGAAGAAAGTAGTGGTGAACAAGATGGTTAAGATTTAGATATGAGTTCACTTAACAATCGAATTCAACGAACGAATGAAATTCATCAGGATGCTAGAGAAGGTCAGAAACGTCAAGCAGATCAATTTTTACAAAATACAGTTAAAACACAAAAATTAGCAAATTTGAATGTTGGTGATAATGTTGTAAGTATTTTCATGCTAAACTTTCCTCAGTCATTTTATGGAGATTTGTTAATTTAGTTGGTATCGGTACCAGATCTTGATCGTGGTCCAACAGATGCGCGCAATATATTAGCTGTTATAATGGAAATTAAACATGACAAATATAAATTAGGTACAGAAAATGGTGTTTTATTAGGTTATTATAGTTCTCATCAAGTATCTGAAGCACCCGGCTTACCAACATTATTTATGCAAAATATTACGGAAGAGGAACCAAAATCATTGAGAGAAATAGCGAGACTTCAGAGTGTTACCGGTGGACAAGGAATGTTAAAATGTCATTGTCAAGGCGGTTGTAAAACAAAGAGATGCAAATGTAAACAAGCAACTGTGCTATGTAACTCACGATGCCATCAATCAGCAACATGCGGCAATAAATAATTCGGGTATTTAGAACGGTTTCTCGCACGTATCTATTCACTTTTTCTTCATAATTTGTACATTTCTGGTTTTTGATGGGTAAATATATCTGCTTTTAGCTGAAATATAACTTTTGATAATATCATTCAAATAATCAATTCTTTACCGTTGATCATAATCAGGATAGAGCACTTCGATAGAGCACGTCATCGAAGTTATAACTTCGATAAGATGGAATATCAAAGTTGTAACTTCTATAAAATTTCTATCGAAGTTATAACTTCGATACGACATATATATACTACCCAAGTCGAAGAATCTTACTGTAAGATCTTATAGGATTCTTGAAAGATTCCGTCTGATTCTGTAAGATTTGTATAAGAATTTCTAAGATGCTGTAAGGAACATAGAAACTTATTCCTGATGTAAGATCTTATAGTAAGATTTTATCAGATTCTTGTATGATTTTTATAAGATGATTCCGCTTCTATGATTTTCCGTAAGATCTTAAAAGATTTTACAAGATCGTGATCTGATTTTTTGGCCTGGGTATATACCCAGGTCGAAGAATCATGTGAGCGGATCGTACAAGATCAGACATGATCATACTGTATGATCGTACATGAGCAGATATGATCTTTAATAATCATATTACTTCATACATATGAAATGGTACGATTGACCTACGAATCGTGGGTCCGGAAAAGTCACAGGTTTGGATTATAGGATTCGTACAGCTACCATACATACCATTTTATCTGATCTTACAAGATCGTACGTACGAAATGTTACGATTCCAAAAGATCGTACGTATGATTGTGTACGATCAGATGCGATCTTACGTACAAATAACACATGATTCGTACTGTTTCTACCTAGCTAGTCTGCGGCTTCTGTTCCATGTTAGTTTACTCTCAATCTTTTGTATCTCTTAAGAGATACACAAGTTGCTTGGTTTAAAAGCTGTTTAATTGTTTATGTTCATGAGATAAATCAAAACAACATACAAAAATAAAAATTAAAAATAACATATACGTGAAAAATTTATAAAAATCAACAATGAGTAACAATAATAAAATAAAAATAATGAAATAACCCCGTCTGGCTGTCTGTATTCATCGTTGTACTTGCTGCTGGAGGTAGTGGAGTGGATAACATTATTTGTTGCTGCTTCTTTAACTTTATTCTTGAATCACATAATAATTGCGATAATGTTCATTGTAGACCATTTTTGTAAAATGCATCCCATTAATTCAACGATATTCTGTACTTTGAACGAATAGCATCTAAAAAAGAAAATAATATTAGTGATTCTTCGACAGAAATTAGCTATACCTTTCAGTATTTGAAATCGAGCACGCTCTAGTGGAGGTCGTGAAAATCTCTTATTTTCTAATACGATTGATTCGGCTAATTCGTCTAGTGTGAATATTTTCTTCAAAACATCTCTCGCATACGTCTTGTAGTCCTTTGCGAAATGATCCAAGAGATTCTCACCCCTGAATTCCTGAAACGATAAAATCTTGCTATGTACATCGATTAATTTCATAGGATACGTCCTTATATTAGGTCAATATTGAAAGGTCACAGTACATAAGAAATGTACGTGAGAGATACTTACAACAATTGTAGGAAATTTCTCATTATGATCACTTTGATATTGAGAAACATTTGATTGTAACTAAAAAGACGGCGTGAAAGGCAGTGCATCACTTTGTAAGCTAATTACTTACTGATTGCGCACAGACAGCCGATAAACGTTTAAACTTCTTGTCAAACGTTGCCATATGCTCCTGAATATTGTTATTCAGTTTCGTCGATACATTTTCAATATCTAAAATAGAAATAATACAAGTAGAAAGGCTGGAGCCAGGACAAAATAACTTTTACCTTGACGTAATAACTGTAAATAACCACGTTTCAGAGATGATTCATCAGTATTGTCATTTGACGAAGAGAACCTTTTTCTTTTTCTTGGAACTGGAATGATAAAAATGAGTGTAGACAAGATGAATAGTAGATCACAAAAAGCTTTGTACCATGTGGTTCTTCTTCATGCTGTTCTTCCCATTCTTCGACAACATCTTGTTGATCTCCCCTTCCTCGAAACCATCGTCTTCTGGGTTTTGCTGATTCTGTTGAGTATATTCATCATCTACATTCAAATCATCGTCCCCATTGATATCGTCTTTTGGCCAACGTGTATTGCCTAAATGGACGAGTCATTTTGTGGCATAAGATTTAGATAAAAATAGACAAATATTTATTCTTGTACTTACTCATTTGATTATGATAATCATCTTCCTCGTCAAAACCTTCCAAGTTTCCAATATTCTTGAAATTTCGCCGCGTTATATCATTTGCTCGTTTTTTGGATGGAGGAGGTCGTTTAAATAAATCTGAACATGCTTTAATTGGAGAAGAGATTTTGAGAGCATACAAAGTACAACATACGTTGAGACTGAAGTGTTGACGGTACATCCTTTCTTTGTGAAGAACTTGGATCTATGACAAGTGAAAAAGACAATTTTATGAATTTTACGTTGTTTTCTAACTTACTATTTTGAATTGTATCAGTATTTCGTCTTTTCGCGGGTCCATTCCCCACCGAACCTCCTAAATAAACCTAGATAACCCTAATAACCCTAGATGCTTTCGGATACAGAGTTTTGATAGAGATTTTGGTTCAATAGTTTAAATTAAATAGGCAATTAAATATCATGCTAAAACGTAACACGTTCACAGACATAATCAATGAGCAAATAGAAGAAGAGTGTGAAAAACGTCGACGAAAGTCTGAGTCACGTAGACTAAAACGGAAACATGAAACATGCGATATCACAAAATATACCATTGGTACTAACAAGAAAATCATCGGTGATTTGAATAATGCTCAGTATGTTAGTGACGACCTTACAACTCGACTCACATCATCTTCGCCGGATTTGAACTTCGATTTGATGCAAATAAGTGATCAAGCAGATTTAAGTGACGGACAGGAAAAAGATTCAAGCAACACCGATGAATCAGATTATACCAACAGTTTTTTTTCTTTTGACAATCAATTAGTGAAGCTAATGCGGATGAACCGCCGAAGTATTTCCTAAGTGCTGAACCATTGCATTTTTCCAGTAATTTATCAACAAATAGTGTTCGTAAAGAGTTTTTGAATTTATTACGTGATTCACAAATTAGTAAACAACAATCTAAAGGTTTTCTGTCATTTATTCGACATCTACTGCCTGAACCGAACAAAATGCCGTTAACAATGGAAAGCTTGTTAATAACACTGAATATCAAAAACCATTTCATCAAACGTATGGTATAGAAAAGAAATGCGTAATAATCAGATAATTTGCGACACATGTGAATCGACCGAACACACGGCACGGATTTATGACACGGATTTTTCCACTCTAGTGTCTTCCATTGTGTCGCGATTATTACCAGAAATAATTAGCTATAAGCAAGAAATATCATTAGCAAATGTCGACTCACAAAAATGCTATGATATTCCATTTGGACAAGTCTACAATGATCTTTCAAGTGAACGACTTGGCCAAAATATTTTATGCTTATTATTACATCTCGATGGTGTCGGTTTATGTACATCAACAAACTTGAAAATGTGGATGTGTAGCACATCAATTATTGAGTTACCACTACATATCAGAGGTCGAAGACACAACATGCCATTAGTATCAATTTATATTGGACATACAGAACCGAATATTAACCTTTGGCTTGGATCCAGTTCCGATTTCCACTTCAATCATATGAAATCGTACGAGATGAACACGTATGATTTTTACCAAACGATTTTGTACGAATTATAATGCAAGATTTCATACGAAATATCTGATCATCATATAATCAGATACGTACCAAAATCGTACTATAGGAAATCATACGATCCTACACTACGAATCATATCACTTCGTACTTCTTGTATGACCTTTCACATTGTTCGACCTGGGTATCGCAGCAAAATTTATGTGGTAAGAACGAGTCGTCACTTCTTGTAAGATCTTAGAAGATCTTGTTACAAGAACTTAACATTTCTTATAAACTGATCTTGTAAGATCTTACGACAAGAAGTTATAAGATTCCGCAAGATCATACATAATCTTGGGATAAGACCTTGCAAAGTCTTACCGAAAGATCTTGTAGCAAGATTGCATAAGAAATCATCAGATCTTATAAAAACTTGTAAGACGTCTCTCACCTGGGCGCATGCAGCTAGATAAATATACCTTTTAATCTGGTTGATCTTGCTGTAAGCGGGCGCTGCAGCTATTATTGCAGCTAAATTTTCTTGCTTACTTGGTTTTGTCTAGGAAGCGAATATTCTGGTGAACATGAACTTTATTTTATATGAATGGTGTTGCTCTTGTATTCTAGTACATTCTCTCGAGTAGTAGTGCTTTATAACCCGAATATATATAATATTCTTGAAAAACAAAATTTCTGAGGCACTAAAATGAGTCGAAAAACTGAAATGAATGAAAACGTCATTTTTTATGCAAAAGTAAAAACTAAGCTCTTCGTATTTCAAAGAGCTTAGAGGAAATTTCAAGTTGTTCTCTGAAAACACGAAAATCGTTTTTTTAGAATGTAACAACATTATAGTTGTAGTTTACATGAAAATCTGTCTTTAGTAATTTATAATAGAACCGTTAAACCATCAAGATCAGACTCTGACACATTTGCAGTTGTTACCCAATGTTAGCCACTACTTTTCACTGTATGACACATGACTAAGTCAGCATTGTAAATGCTCTAAAGCCTATACTCATGGGTGCCCCGACATTCTAAGAAAATACATATCACAAAAATACACAAGATATTAGCCAATGAAACAGATACGACTTAAATACCAGATTTGTTGCAAACAATAGAGATTGATTACATGTTTCCGATAACATGCACAGACATTTGAGGCAATCTGCAGAAAATGAAGGAATCAACATTTTGACTTGAAACTTATTTTGCTAGTGGCGCCATCAACTATCTACATTCAC